AAAATCATGGTAGATCACTCATCTTATGTACATATGCACTGTAAACCTGCCGAAAGCCAATAACTGAATCTGACGCAAGAGGGTGAGGACGCGCCTGCAAATATTTGGTGTCAATGACCAAGGTCTACTGGCCACCCAGTAACTATATGTTGATAGTAGATGCTGCGTCATAGTTGATGGCGTTAGCGGGAGAAGTTTCAGGGCTCGAACGAGTCTTCACCTTGGCTGAGTTTTGTTCCCTCTCCTGTTTGTGTTGCACATGGACATGGTAGTCAAGCGCAACCTGGCGATGAGATATGTAGACGAGACCCCTGTTGTTTGCAGACCTGTTTTGCTGCACTCTTCTGTAGCTGATCTTCAGTGCTCTCGAGATACTGCGACTGCAACGTAGCTGGTATGGGCACGTGTCTTAAACAAAATGCCTAATGCTTTTCCGTTCACCTGAAGATGAAGGTAGAGAAATTGATATGTTCCTCAGTCGTGTTTACGGGTGATGAAAAATGGGAGGATGAATTCGACTGAAGAATTGAAATCACCTGTGGCATTTCTGTCTGAACTAATAGAAACAGCTGTGATTAAAGCAGAGCCGAATTTGAAGGCCAAGCTCTCAGTGCTCTGGTCAAACTTCATTCCGATGCTTTCCTGAGGTCAGGACCTAAGTCGCGGTACATGACTTAAAAACTTTGACCTCGTGAGCAGGCGGATGAAATGAATTTTCTGAGACGAATTTCTGGGCGCATGCGTCTTGAAATGGCCCGGATGACAGATATTGGTGAGCCCTGGTGTTCAGCCGATTCATCTCCCCTAAACTGGGACGATTCGGGCACGTCTTCTAAACGCATGCAGATAATAAACCGAAACACCAATCGATCGGCCTAACACCTCCGGAACTGCCAAGAATATTTTGGGCCAAGAGTATGGAAGAACTCTGCACCATATTCAGGTTATCTTTTGTAGAAGCTCAAACCCTGGCACGGGGTCAGAAAAATTGGAGTCACTGTGATGCGCGCCTGTCTCTGTGGCAGGAGAAGAAAAGCTTCCATCGAAACTGACTGGTTAGGTTGTTGCTTAGGTCATGGCTGGTCCACTTTCAAAGGAAGCCATCTTCTCTTCATTTTCAGATATATTGCATCAACCATCTATATTCATGATTGATGAGAATTTATAGCGCGTTTTCGTAAAAAGTCATTTAATGCTACATTTAATTTACATGCAGCAAAAATTTAATGCATTTTTACTGTAATTTCTTCAGCAACTAAGCTGCGCAAATGGCCGTAATTTTTTCCTCTTCTGGTTGCCTTATAAATGTGTTTGAGTTTCTGTATTTAATTACACTAACTTGAGAGTCAGATGTCCTCTAGATCTTTTCATGAACAGAGAGAGGTGGTGCAGCAAAAGGTAAACACCCGGCATTCTTCTCACTAAGCTCAATTATATATTAATCAGCATGATGAATGCATATCAACTGCATACTTTAATCCAAGGGTAAATAGGTAAATAGGCGGTTAATTATGAGGACTGAGGAATGAACTTTTCCTTTGAACGTGTGCTGTAACACACCTCATGTAGTAATTTCTACACCAACGCATCACAGATCACTGAATGCAGATCAGGATATGAACAGCCATAAAAGTATTGTCATTACTGAAAATACTCAATTTGATGTAGGCGATACAAACTGCTGGATAGTCTTGTGTCAAACTTGTTTTTCCATGAGAAGGGCATCATCGCAGCAAATCCAACAACGAGCCAAATATTTTGTGTTACCTGCACATATATAAAAATCTTTCAATATATATGTGCTAACATATTAAATTCTCTGTTTGAATATTACCTCAGGAGTATCATTTCTTCTATTATAAATCTACTTAACGTTTTGCGTTACTACCGTCTTTGACCAGTGTGAATCAAGGAAATTCGAGAAGGGAATGCGTTGGAAACCGATTCGATTGCCTGACTGTCCAAATTAGATCTTTATTTATAGCCGTTGCTGGACAAGAGACCACTACCATAACGTTGCCCCTGCAGGGCAGCATCGTTCTCATTCTTCATGCATACAATGATTACCTGTGTCAGTTGGACTGTCCAGCTAATCGGCAAAGAATCGCACCGGCCGTAACGCGCCCGTCATTCCTCACGGTTTTGAGTCTCCGACGGGTGGCGAAACTTCATGCGTTTGTAAACATTAATAAATGGGTCTCGGTACTCACATAATAACATTACTATGTATATGGTGAAAAACTTCTGTCGATTTCCTTCGAACGTTGATGCACATGCAGCGAGGTAGAAAGTTGCAAGCATCAGAGGCATCGCGTGAGTTAAGGAAAATATGCTTATTGAAGTGAACCAGTATTTACTTCACTACATTACCAAAATTTCTTCCTACGTCCCTTCTGTTTTCTGTTGATTGCTTAGAACGTTAATCCGGCTCCATGAACTGTTTCGGATGAAATTCAGATCAGATGCAATATTTTTGTAACCATGAAGAAGAGCTCAAGTAAAGCGAAATACTGGCCCTGTTCTTCGGGTTTTTAGTAGGAAAATCTTTTCGCTTCGGTGATGCTCATCTGCTTTCAGCTTTCCTTAAATTCCGTCTCTACACTCAGTTTCACTGAAGTTTCACTATGTGGCAGTTTGGAATGTCAGCTTTGGTCCATTTTGGTGAGTTTTAATAGACTACTGTTTTAGCATATTGATTATCTGTTATAATCAAAGAACAAGAAATCGATTTACTTACAGCGATGGGGGGATAGACCAATAAATGTCACAGTGTTCTTACTACTTCCTCACTAATCGCTGTTGAAAGACTAAACAACATGACTCTCTGCTTTCTGACGTTATTACCAAATATTCGGCGAACTTCCTCCATCGTCCTTTTCTGCATTTTTTACTGTAGCATTTATGAATTAAATATTATTTTTAAGCGCAAAATTAATCGTAAAAATTCAATCTTCGCATATGCGGTTTGAGTGTAAGGACATGTGTTTTTCTGCCAAAGTCTATCATCAAGGCAAAACAGCGAGATGCTTTGTTTGATACCTGTTCAAAGTTAGGATGACTAGCTGCGCTTTCCCAAAGGTTGAAAACAAAACAAGGGCTTAAACACCCGTCGTCGGCATATTATTACAAGCGTTTAATATTTAAATTTGTTTTAAAAAACAGGACGATCAATCAACGATTAATTAGTTGATTCTGTCGCTAATCTTATTGTTCACAGCTGGAGGCATGAAACAAGTCGATGTTAACACCTCATTGCCAACGCGTATCGCTGCTGCACCGTCAAAGCACAGCTTCCAACACAGCTGAAAGACGCTCCTAGACCAGTGCCAACATTCACCTCATTTCCTGCCCTCAATCATGGATCATCATATTGGCTGCAGTTTAAATAATCGACCCAAAACGAACCCTCAAATGTTTTTTCTCTAATACTCGATGGCAATGCGTAATAGGGAGTGTAGACCTTGACAGAGCCAGTCGGTCACTGAAGATGAGAATTTATGTTGTAAGTACAATTTTTGTCCTACCATAGTTAGAAAGGTTATTCGTAATGCACGATAGGGCAGCGTGCCTCTCATCCTCCCTCGAAATCGAATCTTCCGGCGCTTGATGGAATTGACCCTCACAGTAGATGAACTCCTCGATGGGTTGCTAAGGAAACAATATCAGCCATCATTTTCAACGAGGCTCTGCCTCACCGATACCAGACAGCACAATGTTTAAACTACCAGATGTTAGTCTTCTTTGGGTATGTCTGCTCAGCATCTTACGAAGACAACCATTGTTCAGTGGAAATTTTGCAACTTGCAATAATGTTAAGCTTCCTTCAAAATTATCCGCTCAACTGACAGCTTTCTCAACTGGTAGCTTGGTATTTCCCGGGGTCCTTTTGGAACGTTGGAATCAAACTTTGAGCCTGGTTAAGCAAAATACTCGACCCTTAAATAACGTTCTCAGTCAGCTCCCCGTGACCTGAAGGAAGCAACCGTTTAGCAACTGAATTAGTGATTAAATCACCGCTGGATTTTGAATTTCAAATTATGCACATTTTATTTCCGGCCGTGATCTTCGTATCAGTTACCAAATTAAATGAAATTCAAATATTATTAGTAAACTACTATCATTGCTATTACATATTTAAACAGCGTATCAACAGCTGTTTGATTTGCTCATGTTGACTTACGAACTGTTAGATGTGTACTCTGAGTGATTTCTGCTATAAGGTAAAATTCAACGTGAGGAGATTCAGTGTTTTTAGATCTCTGCTCGCGCTGTTTACCAGGACCGACGAAACTCATTTCAGTTCTCGCTGGAAGTCAGATGGTAATTTTTCTCTCACTGTACTTGTCCTTAACTCCGGCATGATAATTTAGCCGCACATCTCGACTGCCTGTAAACTTCCCGATTGAGGAAGTCGTCTGTGAAAAGGCAGAGAATTTGAATTTTGCTCTGGTGTATAGAAGACGAACTGCTGAACGCATGCCTCACATCCTTCATCCCTCTTGGAAAGAGCAGATTTTGACGTGACGTTCGGTTTGGAACATTACGTGCAACGACGAGGAGGTAGTTGTCGAGATATCGTTTTCATAAATCTGCATAACTGTCCCGTTGACATTACTGACCCAGTCGAAAAACTCTTTGCTCAGCGGTGCTTGTCCACAAGAAAACGATGAAAAACTGGCTAAGCGCACGGTCTAGTTACGGTATTACGCGAAAATGCATAGTTGGTTTTTTGCGGTGTACCGAAAT